TTCCAAAAACTCAGGTTGTGTCGAACACAACTTGAACCCCTCAAAACCCCTCTCTCAGGCTTCACGGGGGACACCGTTGAAGCTGAAGGATCCATAGTTCTACCGGTCGAACTAGGATCAGGTGAAAAGACCGTGTGGAAGAAGATGCGGTTCATAGTTGTGGACATCAAATGCGTCCACAACGCAATTCTAGGAAGGCCAGGCATCAATAAAGTCGGGGCGGTGATTTTAATGCCTCATCTATGTATGAAGTTCCACACTCCAGGTGGTGTGGGTGAGATGAAGGGCGACCAGAGGAACGCCCGGGAGTGCTATGCCCGGGCAGTCAAGAAAATGACCAGGGGGGTCAATGTCATCTCCCAAGAGATCACAAAGGGAGAGACCCAGGAGAAACTAGAGCCCGAGGCTGAGACGGTGGAAATCGAACTTCACCCGGGTGATTCTTCGAGGATGGTCAGAATTGGAGCAAATCTTCCCGAGGATCTCAAGGAGCAGATTACACGGGTCCTCCAAGAATACGCGGGCATATTCGCATGGAGCGTGGCGGATATGCCCGGGATAGATCGCTCTGTTATCTGCCACCGGTTGGCCGTGAGGGAGGGAAGTCGACCGGTACGCCAAAAGAAGCGGTACCTGGCGAGTGACCGGCGAGACTTCGTCAAGAAGGAAGTGAGAGACCTCCTCAGTGTTGGTCACATCCGGGAAGTCAAGTACCCGGATTGGCTGGCCAACGTTGTCCTTGCTCCCAAGGGCGACACGTGGAGAATGTGTGTGGATTATACGGACTTGAACAAGGCTTGTCCAATGGATTCATACCCCCTCCCCAGTCCAGATCAAATGGTGGACGAAACTGCGGGGTGCGAACTCCTAAGTTTCATGGATGCCTTCAAGGGTTACCACCAAATTTACATGGCCAAGGAAGATGAAGAGAAGACGTCGTTCCTCACACTCGAAGGAACCTACTGCTACCGGGTAATGGCGTTTGGCTTGAAGAACTCGGGGGCAACCTACCAGCGCATGGTGACCAAGCTCTTCAAGCCACTACTGGGAAAGACCATGGAGGCATACGTCGACGACATGCTGATCAAAAGCCAAGTATCTCTGAACCACCCGACGGATATGCGAGCCACATTCGATATCATGGCAAGGTACAACCTCCGGCTGAATCCTAAGAAATGCGTCTTCGCGGTTCGCACCGGAAAGTTCTTGGGATTCATGGTGACTAAGAGAGGGATAGAGCCCAACCCAGAGAAAATCCGGGCTATCACTGAAATGCAATCCCCTACCTCCGTTAGGGATGTTCAAAAGTTGACCGGTCGTTTAGCGGCCCTCAGCCGGTTCCTTTCCCGGTTAGCTGAGAGATCTCTGCCCTTCTTCAAAGTTCTGAAGAAGGCCAACGCATTTGCATGGGACGAAGAATGCCGGAGGGCATTCGAGGAGCTGAAAGAGTACCTAGCGTCGGATATTGTGTTGTCTAAACCCGAACCGGGTGAAACTCTATATCTGTACCTGGGAATTTCCCCAAATGCTGTAAGCTCCGTTTTAATTAGAGATGATGGGGCACAAAAGCCCATTTATTATGTGAGCAAAGCACTAAACGGGGCTGAGAGTAGATATACGGCGATGGAAAAGACAGCCTACGCGCTTTTCATCTCCGCAAAAAAGTTAACATCATACTTCCAAGCTCACCCAGTAGAAGTCTTAACTGACCAACCGCTGGGTGCAGTATTGCGAAATTCAACATCCTCCGGGAGGATGGTGAAGTGGGCAATGATGTTAACTCAATTCAATATTGAGTACCGGCCAAGGTCAGCAATCAAGGGGCAGGCCCTAGCTGACTTCCTTGTAGAAATGACTGGTCTAGCTCCAGACTTACCGGCCAACAAGCCCACTAAGCAATGGTGGGAGATGGCGGTTGATGGGGCATCCGGTCCTAGAGGATACGGGGGTGGTATCGTGTTCACCACCCCAGAAGGATTCAAGATCTATCATGCAATTGTCTTCAACTTCAAGCTGACGAACAATGAGGCAGAATATGAAGCTCTGGCTGGAGGGCTCAGACTTGCCCAAGCCCTGAAAATCAGCCGGGTCAGTATCAAATCTGACTCTAGCCTGATAGTAGGGCAGGTGACCGGTAACATGGAAGCAAGGGAAGGACGCATGGCACAATACAAGGACCTTGTACTTGCCCTGTTGAAAGGCTTCAAGGAATTCAAGATCGCCCAAATNTAAAAGACTTAATCACCCGGAAGAGGGGGCCCTGGAAGAAGGGTGCATTTGAACCTTGGAGAGGGTTCGAAATCATTCGAACATGGTTAAATCTCCAGTATTCTTACCGGTTAAGGATACTTCAAGAAATTACTAGGTTACAGGTGCTCCATCTACAACCTACCGGTCAAAAAAAAAAAAAAAAAAAAGAAATACCCCGGTTGGGTATTGGTACAGCGGAACTTCGAAAGTTCCACAAGGCGAGGCAGTTCACCGGTCAGACCGTGGAGAGGGGACCTACCGGTCAAACTGCGCCTCACTTTCAAAACAAGAACGAAGGTGTTCAAAAACAGGTTGAAATCCAGCCAGTCAAACATTTTTCAAAGTGACCATCAAGTTGGGGTTAACCGGTCAAAGTCACTCGAGCTGAACTTTCAAATAAAGTGATCAAGAACATGGAAGTTCCACCGGTCGAAAACAATTGAGAAGTGGCCTAACTTATATACCGGTCAGAAGTTCTATGATGGTATTCTAAGGAGCAAGATCAAAAAAGTAAATCAAACAAGCAATCAGAAGTGGAAGATTAACCGGTACAAAACGAAATAAGAATGTTAAATGTTTTACATTTACACCGGGCATTCCCGGGGAAACGAGTTTTAAGTTTACAAAGCAACCGGTCAAGGCCGGGGAGTTCTTAATCTAGGGGAAAGGGGGGAGTAGGCTCTTCCTCCGGGATGGATGCCAGGCCGTAAGAAGCTGCGGAGAACTCTGGGTCTCTTTTCTTCAAAATCCGGTGGCAGGCAGCCCGGTCCTTCTTCTGACCACTCTTGAATCCGAAGGACCCAATAGCGGTAATCATCTTCTTTCCTTCAGGCTCCCGGTACAAGAGCCTGAAGGATTCCATGGTCGCTTCCGGGCTTGCCGTCATCACCCGGGCAGCTTCAGCCTTATTCTCTTCCACCCAGGCAGCTGCGCGCCCGGGGAAGGTTTCTTCCTTCTCCGCCAGTTCCCTCTTGGCTTCAGAGACTTCGTCCAGAAGCCGGCCATTCTCCTCCTTCAGTTGGGAGATCTCAGTCTTCATTGCCCCGGCCAGCCCAGACAGCCGGATCAGCTCTTCAGCCTGGCTCCTCAGGAGGAGGGTCATCTCCTCCTTCTCCTTCTTCAGCCGGGCAAACTCGGAGGGAGAGCCTAAGCCAAGCCGGTCAGCTGTCGAGGGTCCAATCTCCCCCGCCTGCACAAAAGGAAGAAGAAGCCCGGTGAGAATGGGATAACAACGACAAAGGATCATGACCGGGATAGCAGCAGGACTTACCTCCTTTAGCCTTAGCCCCAGGTTGATGAAGGCCTCCTCGATAGTCTGGCCGGCCGGCTCAGGATCTGACCTTGCCCTTTTCTTGGCGTAGGAAGGGTGCGTGGTCGCCACCTTCTTCACCCGGCGACCGGCCTTCTCCTTCTCCTTCCCCTTAGACCGGTCGTCTTGGGGCTCATCCTCATCCAGGATTTCCACGGTCTCTGGATTGACCGGGAAAGTCCTGGCAGGATTGGCTTGGGAGCCCCCGGTCTCCCCGACTGGTTGGTCCTCGGGGATAGCGAACTCCTCAAACTCCATATCTGCAGAACGAACCAAAAACATTAAGTACAAATAGTTTGCCCGGTCAACTACGAATCACGAGAAAAATGAAAAGTACCTGGGTGGGAGTTGCCCTCAGCCTCCGCAGTGTTGCCCGGGGAGGGTACCCCGCGCCCCGCTGCGTCATGGGCCTGGGAGGTACCCTCGCCACCCGATTCGACCCTCCAAACCCAGCTGCCATAATGGAAAGTCCTCCCGGTGAAAGGATCCCCACGCATGAGGACCTCAAGATTCGCTTCCAAGTCTGGGGAGGAAGCCGGTGTAGTGTACTCTTGGTCGAGCAGATGGTCATTCCATCTCAGACCGGCCAGAGGAGTGAAGAAGGGGGGAAACTCGATGAAAACAAATTTTTCCTTCCATCCCCGGTTACTCTGGGGGACTTCGGAAATGAACTTCCTACCGGTACGGGCTTTGAAGAAAACAAAGCCTTCGCAGCCGGATCCGCCCGGTAGGACTTCGAAACAAAAAAGGAAAAGACGCAAAGAGGGGAAGATTTTCAGATGGGTACAAATATTTACGAAGGAATGGAGGTACCGGTGGGCGTTAGGAGTTATTTGACCGAGCAAAATCCTAAACGCATGGCAGACTTCAATGAGGAGGGAGCGAGGGGGAAAGACTATGCTCGCGTCCAGGGAAATGGTATGAAACCCTATCCTATCCTCCCGGTGGGGTTCAACGATATTAGGCCAGTTAGGTTCGTAGAGGAGGGTATACCCATCCGGGAGCCTCCTACGGATTTTGTTTAAGGCAATTTTGGATACACGGGAAGGTATGTCAAGGACGTAGAAGGTGGGGAGTGGAAAGTAATCGGCAGCATGAAGCCGCGCCTCCCACGCATCCCGGGTTTCATGTTCGGGATCATAGGGACCCGGTTCGTCATCAACCGGGTCATCCCTCCCCACAAAGGTTTCACCGGGCATCTGATTGACGGGATGCGGGTCAGGAATGGAGGACTGGGGAACCTGACCGGGCGAAGAGTTCAAAGAAGAAGACCCGGTCGAGGAAAAGGAGTTTGAATTCTCAGAGGAGCAGTCCTCTGAGAAAGAGACCCTATCGCTAAGAGAAGACATGACCGGGAAAGTAGAGAAGGAAGGGGACACTTACTTGGCTCGGAGGGCTGGATAGCGAGAGAAGAAACTTGACCGGTGAAAGCTCTAAGACTTGATCGCGGAAAGTGAACAAAGGAGATGGGTTGAAGACCTTTATATAGGAGGAGAGGAGGCCAAAGGGAGCGACGTGGCCACGCGAGAACACGCCGCGTCAGGTGGCGCAATGATGACCCACTGGCAGGCAAAACGGCAGGTCTGCAGCCGACTGATTGCAACGGTTGGTGCGCGACACGTGGCAAAAGCCAGAGTTTGAAATTCAAATTTCAAAAAATTTCAGGCGGGAAGGGCCAAAATTTCAAAATTGGGGTCCTGTTTTCAGACTTTTTACTTCCCGCTCATGACAAATTGCATGACCGAGAAGTGGAGGGCTTATTGATGGGTGTATTCCACCCATGACCGGTCAAAGGAAGAGACCAGATAGTTGACCGGTCAATCTTGAGAGTTAAGGAGAGGGACCTTAATCATTAGCCAGAGGACACTCAAATCGGTCAAAAGCTGACCGGTATACTTTAGAAAAGTATACCGGTCAAACTATTACATGGTTCCATTCATCCTTGTTGATGGGTGTATTCCACCCATGACCGGTCAAAGGAGAAGACCAAATAGGTGACCGGTCAATCTTGAAAATTCTGGAAAGGGAGACTTTAATCGTCAGCAAGTGGGTATTTGATCGGTCTGAATTTGACCGGTGTACTTCGGGAAAAAGTATACCGGTCAAACTACTTATCACTCCATTCATTCCCTAAGTACGATAAACTCATCCCTCAGAAATTACCCGGTGTAGTTTCTAGGGTTGGAAAGTGTCAGCAGAGGAGAATCTACGAGGGCTTGGCGTGTAGTGACCCGTGTCAGTAGAGGACAACTGGAGATGCTGAAGAATCCATCCAAGGCACTACCTGACAAAGGGAATAATCCCCCTCACAAGGCGACAAGGTAGCTAAGAGACGAGGCCCATCACCTCTCAACATCCGAGACATGTGCCTCCACGTGGGCGCACATGGGCCTGTCCCCCCAAACCTAGTATAAATACGGCTGTAACTCTCAGAAGTAGGGATCCGAATTCACTCTCTCTAAACTCCCTTGTAAAAGCACCCGTGCATTCTCCGGTTATAATATAAATTGGGCTACAGGTGTTCCACCTAAAGTCCTCCCGGTCAATTTGCGAGTTTTTATCTTTCTTACTTTGCCAAATCAAGCGAACTATTCTAGACCCGGTCTAGTACAGTTTGACCGGTCGAGTAATTTACACCATCAACAAGGATGCATCAATATTTTGTGTTGGTATAATACTACTTTTTGTTAACACATCAACACGTTGTGTTAGTTTAAATTTTTGTTAATTCACTAACACTTTGTGTCAGTGCGAGCCTTTTGGTGTATAAATAAGATACAAAAATAGAAAAAAGATATATATCCTCATAATAATTCCATTTATTCGTTTATCCAAAAATTATTTCTAACTTTGCCTTTACACTTAAAATTAAAAAATAGAAAAAAGATATATTCACTTTACATATTTATCCTTTTGTTATTGTAAAAAGTGATACTCCGTATAAAGTACCGGCATTGATAGTAATTAATGGATAAAATGAGGATATTAATAATGAAATTTGTACTAAATAGTACGGAGTACTAAGCTACAACATACTCCACACTCCCTCCGTCTCAAATTATTTACAACATTTGTTTTTTCAGCAGTCGCGGGAACTTTTGTTTATTTCTAATTTTCATTGGTCATTTGATAAAATAAAATATTCTTGACACCTCTTATTTCGAAGAACTTTTCATGTAGTTTTTTGATATGTAAATTTTATTTTTTATTTTTATACCAATATGTAAATAAAATGAATTGAAAAAATTTGATATTTTTACCTCAGGAATACAAGTGTGACAAATATTTAGGGACGGAGGGAGTATATTCTTTCTCAATTTAGTATTTAAATTTTTTATTCTCTAAATAGTACTTAAATAATATCTAGTTGTGGGACCAATATTCAATTATGGTGGAAATTTAGTTCTAAAAGTGTCAAGTGACGATAGATATTTACTTAAATAATGATTAGTGAACATTAAACAATAATACTACGTTGGAAAAATAAAAATATATAGTACTATTGATGGGTGTATTTCACCCAAGACCAGTTAAAGGAGAAGGCCAACTCTTTGACCGGTCAATCTCGAAAGTTTTGGAAGAGAGACTTAAATCGTCAGCAAAACGATATATCATCGGCCAAAATATGACCGGTACACTTCACAAAAAAGTATACCGGTCAAACAAGGTTATCATCCTATTTATTCCAGACTTCGATAAATTCATCTCTCGGAGGTTACCCGGTGAAGTTTCTGGGGTTGGAAAGTGTCGGCAGAGGAGTATCTGCGAGGGCTTGGCGTGTAGCGACCCGTGTCAGTAGAGGACAACTGGAGATGCTAAAGAATCCATCCAAGGCGCTACTCGACAAAGGGAATGATCCCCCTCACATGGCGACAAGGCAGCTCGAGGACGAAACCAGTCACCTCGCACCACATCAGCAGCATGCCCCCACGTGGGCGCACGTGGGCCTGTCCCCCCAAACCTAGTGAAAATACGGCTGTAGCTCTCAGAAGTAGGGATCCCGAATTCATTCTCTCTAAACTCCCTTGTAAAAGCACCCGTGCATTCTCCGTTATAATACAAATTGGGCTACAGGTGTTCCACCTAAAGTCCTACCGGTCAATCTGCGTGTTTTTACCTTTCTTACTTTGCCGAATCAAGCGAACTATTCTAGACCCGGTCTAGTATAGTTTGACCGGTCAAGTAATTTACACCATCATTTTTGGCGCCGACCGTGGGGCCGTTAAGGTTTCTTCTCCTCCAAATACAAACCTACCCACGAAAACACCACTCGAAATGTCTTCCAGCCAACAGATCAACGCTACTTCCGCTAAGGTACAGGCCACCAATGAGGCCGCCAGCATCCCTGTGGCTGCTACCATACCGGCCATTTCAGCCCCGGTGTTGCCTCTGGGCCTGAGTTCTGTCCCGACGGCGAGCGTGATCAGTCCCTTCGCGACCCCCGTCCTTTCCGCTGGACCAAGGGTCACGTTCCCACCAAGCATGGCTCAGTTCATGAATGACCCAGCCAACCTACAAGCCATCCAGGGCTTTGGCCAGGTCATGGCCATGTGCCAGCAGAACGGGGGGATGCCTTTCCTCCCTAGTATGTTCCCATTCGCCCTTCCAGGCGCAGGGACCATGCCCCTACAAGCTCCGATGGCGGTGATGTCGTTCCAGACGCCGATGCCGCAACCATCACCTTTCCAGCCCCAGCTGGTCAGCACCATGACCCCTGTCAACTTGGCCGGTGCACTTAACGCCGTGGGGCCGTCGCATCCCCCGCAAGCTACGGATCCGCAGGTCACTCCTGATGGTCATTGCGTCTCGATTGAGAGCGATGACGGTGAGTGGGACATCCCGAGGGCTCACAAGAAGAAGAAGGGAAAAAACATCCGGCCAGCGACCTCTCGAAACTTCGCCTTCGAAAAGCTGGGGGATAGGGAGGAAGGCCAGAGGAAGTCAGCCAAGCATAGGCTGGGGCAGAGTGTTGCCCATGTCAGCGCATTCGCCCGGCTAGGCGAGGTGCGGGAGGCCGAGCCTGCCCGCACCCGGCGCTCCCGGTCTAACCGGCAGGAGCCAGTGAGGACGAGAGCCTCCCACTAGGAAGTGGAGGCAGAAAGCCAGCCCAGGTTACCGGTGGCGAACCGGTTAACCATCCCAAACGACCGCGTCCAGCAGATGGAGGCAAAGCTGGAAAGGCTGGAAAAGAAGGTCGGAGAGAAGAATGACCGGGACAAACCCCTGGCAGGGTCCCCGTTCACCACAAGAGTCCAGCTGACACCTTTCCCGCGAAAGGTCAAGATCGACGCCCCCAGATTCACCGGGAAGGAAGATCCGGAAATCCACCTGAACTCCTTCAACCAGAGTGCGACCATGAACGGTTGCACCGATGAAGAAAAGTGCATACTTTTCTTCCAGACCTTGCAGAACCGAGCCACTGAATGGTTTAATAAGCTTCGCCCGGGAAGCATTGACTCGTTCAATGATTTGGCCTCAAAATTCAAGGCCAAGTTCCAGGAGAATTGTACTAAGAGGAAGAAATTCACCTATCTTAGTTTAGCCGGGCAGAGGGAGTCTGAGAACCTCACTTCGTTCCTTACCCGGTGGAAGGAAGAGGTAGACAAGGTGGAAGAGATGGATGGCAAGACCGTCCAATCCCTCCTCTTGAATGGCTTGCGTGCTGGGGAACTATACAAGGAGTTCTGCCGGAGACCCCCAGCCACGTACCAAGAGGCCTACCATACTGCATGGGAGTTTGCTGAGGCTGAAACCCAACTCCGGGCAAATAGAGAAGCTGAGCATGGTCACAAGCCCAAGCCGGTACAAGTCAAGAAGGAAGAAGTACCGGGACCTAGCCGGCCGAGGCACCACTATGACCCGGTCATCCGAGTGGTCAATACGGAGGAATGCCAAGAAGTCCGGAAAGCACCGGTCATTCCTCCAGAAAACCCTACCGGTCAAGTAGGGCGGCAGTGGTCGGGCACCTATTGTTCGTACCACAGGTCAGATTCCCATAACACTTCCGAATGTAAGAGTATCAAGGGAGTAATCCGGCAGATGATCGATAGTGGAGAGCTGGGCAAGGATTACTTGCAGAAAGCCCAAGAGAAGTGTCATCAGTGGGTTAGGCCAACTGCCCCAGGGAATGACCGGGACAACGACAGGCGGAGAAATAACCGGCCAAGGGAGCGGCAACCTGCTCCCGAAAAAGAGCACATCAGCATGATCTTCGGCGGACCCGAGGGTGGAGATTCAGCCGCGCAGCGGAAGAACTGGGTCCAGAGCATTTACGTTGGAGAGGTAAGTACTGAACCGCCCAGGCGTAAACATACTAGGAGGGAGCCTATCGTCTTTACTGATCGGGATCTCCCTCCTACCGGTGAAGATCACAATGATCCATTGGTCATCACCATGGACATTAATGGGGTGGATGTCGCCCGGGTACTTGTAGACACCGGCAGCAGTGTCAACATCTTATACCTGGAGACCTTCCAAAAACTCAGCTTGTGTCGAACACAACTTGAACCCCTCAAAACCCCTCTCTCGGGCTTCACGGGGGACACCGTTGAAGCTGAAGGATCCATACTTCTACCGGTCGAACTAGGATCAGGTGAAAAGACCGTGTGGAAGAAGATGCGGTTCATAGTTGTGGACATCAAATGCGTCCACAATGCAATTCTCGGAAGGCCAGGCATCAATAAAGTCGGGGCGGTGATTTCCATGCCTCATCTATGCATGAAGTTCCACACTCCAGGTGGTGTGGGTGAGATGAAGGGCGACCAGAGGAACGCCCGGGAGTGCTATGCCCGGGCAGTCAAGAAAATGACCAGGGGGGTCAATGTCATCTCCCAAGAGATCACAAAGGGAGAGACCCAGGAGAAACTAGAGCCCGAGGCTGAGACGGTGGAAATCGAACTTCACCCGGGTGATTCTTCGAGGATGATCAGAATTGGAGCAAATCTCCCCGAGGATCTCAGGGAGCAGATTACACGGGTCCTCCGAGAATACGCGGGCATATTCGCGTGGAGCGTGGCGGATATGCCCGGGATAGATCGCTCTGTTATCTGCCACCAGTTGGCCGTGAGGGAGGGAAGTCGACCGGTACGCCAAAAGAAGCGATACCTGGCCAGTGACCGGCGAGACTTCGTCAAGAAGGAAGTGAGAGACCTCCTCAGTGTTGGTCACATCCAAGAGGTCAAGTACCCGGATTGGCTGGCCAACGTTGTCCTTGCTCCCAAGGGCGACACGTGGAAAATGTGTGTGGATTTCACGGACTTGAACAAGGCTTGTCCGATGGATTCATACCCCCTCCCCAGTCCAGATCAAATGGTGGTTGAAACTGCGGGGTGCGAACTCCTAAGTTTCATGGATGCCTTCAAGGGTTACCACCAAATCTACATGGCCAAGGAGGATGAAGAGAAGAGGTCATTCCTCACACCCGAAGGAACCTACTGTTACCGGGTAATGGAGTTCGGTTTGAAGAACTCGGGGGCAACCTACCAGCGCATGGTGAACAAACTCTTCAAGCCACTACTGGGAAAGACCATGGAGGCATACGTCGACGACATGCTGATCAAAAGCCAGGTATCTCTGAACCACCTGGCTGATATGCGAGCCACGTTCGATATCATGGCAAAGTACAACCTCCGGCTGAATCCTAAGAAATGCGTGTTCGCGGTTCGTACCGGGAAGTTCTTGGGATTCATGATGACCAAGAGAGGAATAGAGCCCAACCCAGAGAAAATCCGGGCTATCACTGAAATGCAAGCCCCTACCTCCGTTAGGGATGTTCAAAAGTTGACCAGTCGTTTAGCGGCCCTTAGCTGGTTCCTTTCCCGGTCAGCTGAGAGATCCCTGCCCTTCTTCAAAGTTCTGAAGAAGGCCAACGCATTTGCATGGGACGAGGAATGCCGGAGGGCATTCGAGGAGCTGAAGGAGTACCTAGCGTCGGATATTGTATTGTCTAAACCCGAACCGGGTGAAACTCTGTATCTGTACCTGGGAATTTCCCCAAATGCTGTAACCTCCGTTTTAATTAGAGATGATGGGGCACAAAAGCCCATTTATTATGTGAGCAAAGCACTAAACGGGGCGGAGAGTAGATATACGGCGATGGAAAAGACAGCCTATGCGCTTTTCATCTCCGCCAAAAAGTTAACATCCTACTTCCAAGCTCACCCGGTAGAAGTCTTGACTGACCAACCGCTGGGTGCAGTTTTGCGAAATTCAACATCCTCTGGGAGGATGGTGAAATGGGCGATGATGTTAACTCAATTCCACATTGAGTACCGGCCGAGGTCGGCAATTAAGGGACATGCCCTTGCTGACTTCTCAGTAGAAATGACCGGCCTAACTCCAGACTTACCGGTCAACAAGCCCACTGAGCTATGGTGGGAGATGGCAGTTGATGGGGCATCCGGTCCTAGAGAATACGGGGGCGGTATCGTGTTCACCACCCCAGAAGGGTTCAAGATCTACCATGCAATCGTCTTCAACTTCAAGCTGACGAACAATGAGGCAGAATATGAAGCTCTGGCTGGAGGGCTCAGACTTGCCCAAGCCCTGAAAATCAGCTGGGTCAGTATCAAATCTGACTCTAGCTTGATAGTAGGGCAGGTGACCGGTAACATGGAAGCAAGGGAAGGACGCATGGCACAATACAAGGACCTTGTACTTGCCCTGTTGAAGGGCTTCGAAGAATTCAAGATCGCCCAGATTCCCCGGGCGGAGAACGCGGATGCAGACCTTCTCTCCAAATTCACGCAGTATGCTCCCGAGCATGTTTCGAAACTTGGACGGGTAGAGATCCTTGACCGTGCAAGCATCGAGAAATTGGAAGTCGCCGCTATAACGGCCGGAAGCCAGTTTGACCGGTCAAACTTGGTCGGGGCAGACGACCATTGGATGTATGATCTGATGGAATATTTGACGGATGGGAGCTTGCCAGAACAAGATGACCGGGCAAGGAAAGTGAAGCTCAGGGCACCTCGATTCCAGATGCTCGATGGAAAGCTGTACAAAAGGGCATTTGGGGGGCCACTCCTGAGATGTCTGACCAACCGGGAGGCTGAACGAGTCATAGCGGAAGTCCACGAAGGCGTATGCGCGGCGCATCAAATGTCCCGTACGCTTTCCCAGCGCATTATCTTGTTGGGGTATTACTGGCCAACAATTGTCCAGGATTGTGAGAGGTATGTTCAGAAATGTAGAACATGTCAAGTGTTCTACAAGTACCCTGGTAGACCAACGACCTACTATCACCCCGTATCGAATGTCATCCCATTCGCTAGGTTCGGGGTTGATATCGTTGGAGCATTCTCAGTCGCCCAAGGAGGGAAGAAGTTCGTGATCAAAGCCATCGATTACTTCACCAAATGGATCGAGGCCGAAGCATTGGCCAACATTACCACGCAACAATGCAAGAAATTCATTTGGAAGAACATCATCACGAGGTTTGGAGCGCCCATAAACCTCATCACCGACAACGGCCCACAATTTCGAAATCCAAGCTTCACTGAATACTTGGAGGGCTTCGGGATCAAGCACAATCGCTCCTCGGTGGCATACCCCCAAGGGAATGGCCAAGTCGAAAACGCCAACCGAACAATTGTGGATGGTCTAAAGAAACAGCTGGAAGAGCTCCCACACATCGTATGGGCATTCCGAGTAACACCCAGGAGGGCTCACGGGGAAACTCCATTCTACCTAACCTATGGGTGTGAAGCAAGGCTGCCCATCGAAGCTGAATTCCCAACGTTCCGGGAATCAAGTTATCAACCCCAACAAAATGAAGAAGACCACTTGGCCGAACTCAACTTGGTCGAAGAGCGGAGAATGGCCGCGGAAGTCAAAATGAGCACATACCAACAAGTTGTAAAGAAGTACCATGACAACAAAGTTGGGCCGCGGTACTTCCAAGTTGGGGATGAAGTCCTACGGAGAAGAGAAGCAAGTAGACCCGGCGACGGAGGAAAGCTAGCAAAAAACTGGGAAGGCCCATATAGGGTTAGAGCCATCATTCGCCCGGGGACATACCGGTTAGAAACTCTTGAAGGGGTACCGGTAGAAAGAACCTGGAATTCCCATCATCTTCGCAAGTTCTACAAATGATTGTAATACTAGGCAAGGCCTACTTTATTATCAACCAAACCGATGATGTTCGATACTCTATTTGGTAGCGGCAGGATTGATAGGTCGAACCTATCCTAGGAGGGCTTCCTAGGTGGATCGAATCCACTTGGCTAAGCCAACTGAGACACAGGCCCGGACCTGGCACGCTGGTTACTACACCGGTCTTGCTCAGTATAATAGAAAAAATATCAAAACC